AAAAAAAAAAAAAAGAAAAAAAAATAACAAAATTAAACAAACAAACTAAAAAACAGGTCTGAAAATACAAAGACTGGAGGAAATGAGTAGGCCGATCACAGACGGGAAAGTCACAGAACCAACAAGCATATGAGGAAATACCTGTGAGAAACCAGGACATGCAAATCAAAACGGTAAGGAACACAGAGTTCCCCTTTATCAGTGGTTTCACTTTCCACAGTCTGTTACCTGAAGGGAGTCACAGTCCAAATATATTACACAGAAAATTCCCAAAATAAGCAATTCACAAGCCTTAAGCTGCATGCCGTTTTGAGTAGCATGAAAGCACACGCTGTCCGGCCCCACATCCCTTCGTCCTGTGTATCCACACTGCACACGCCACCTAGCCATCAGTCACTTAGCAGTTCTCACTTTCTAGATCAAGAAAACATAGTGTATACAGGGTTTCATACTATCCCCAGTTCCAGGCGTCCACTAGGGGTCTTAGCTATGTCCCCTCAGATAAGGGGACTACTCTATCTCTTCTTTGTTTTGTTTTATAATTTCTTTTTTTAAAGAGTTACTTTATTTAACTTTATTATTTTAATATTTCCAGATACATACACACACAGAAGTGAGAAAGCAAGCCTCCAGGTCTGGGACTTGAACCAGTTAGCCATGTGGGAGTCCAGCGCCTTTAACCACTACTCTACCTGCTGGCCCTCTGTACTCCTTTCATACCTGTCAAAATGGCAAATGCTGGAATGGCGAGTAACAGTGAGGTGAAGATGGAGGGATAGGGAAGCTTCCTGGAAAGCAACCTGACAACGCCAAATCCAGGAACCCCTCCCCCAGCTACATACCTCAGAGAAATTCTATTTTTTTCTTTTAAATTTGATGTAGGGCACATGTACTCACTAGAGACAGAAAAAGAGGGAGACAGACAGAAAGCAAGAAATCACCCCCCGGGGTGAGATGGCCATGCCACATCTGGGTTATGGGCATATGCATCTGGCATATTTTTCAAGCTACCAGGTCCAGAACTCAAACTAAGCAGTTGACCACGTAGGACCCAGGCACTCCAACTACCGCGTCACCAGCTGGCCCACCTCAGAGAAATTCTACCACTAGTCCTTGAAGGATACTCACCCAACATGTTGTGGAGGAGGGAGTTGGAGGCACCCAGATGTCCTAATAGGGAACAGGTAAGTGGTGGATGTATCCCACAGAAGGGCAAGCAGCACTGAGAACACACGAACCACATGCACTTAAGGAACATGTTTGTTTTGTTTGTTTTTTTAGGTTTTAGCCATAGGATGCATGTCAAGTACTCGCCAGAGAGGAAAACTAAGAAATCACCCCCCAGGGGGGACGGCCATGCTGCAATCCCTTCTCCAGTCTCCTTTCGGGATTTTGGCCACACACGCCCATCATGATTTTCAAGGCACAAGGTCTCTGGGACTGACTGTGGTCAGCCCTGTAGAAGTCCAGCACTTTAACCACCATACCACCTGCTGGTCCCTTCCACAAACTTTTTGATGTTCCCTCATACAGTCAACAGAAATTAGGGCCTATGGCAGGGTAGAGAAGACAAGAATGAATAGGGAAAACAAATAAAACAAAGACACTATAATGGTGTGTCATGGCTAGTCAATAAAAATAATTACACATTTTTAAAAAATTTTTATTTAAAAAAATTTTTTGAGTTTTTTTACCTTAGGGAGCATGCACTCACCAAAGAGAAACACAGACAGACAACAGAAATTAGGGCCTATGGCAGGGTAGAGAAGACAAGAATGAATAGGGAAAACAAATAAAACAAAGACACTATAATGGTGTGTCATGGCTAGTCAATAAAAATAATTACACATTTTTAAAAAATTTTTATTTAAAAAAATTTTTTGAGTTTTTTTACCTTAGGGAGCATGCACTCACCAAAGAGAAACACAGACAGACAGAGAAAGTGATTATTTAAAAAATTTTTTTGAGTTTTTTTACCTTAGGGAGCGTGCACTCACCAAAGAGAAACACAGACAGACAGAGACAGTGAAAAATCAAACTGTAAAGGGGATGGCCTTGCCACAATCCTTTCTCCTCCATTCTCCCAGGATCCTTGTACACGCACCCAGCATGAGTTTCAAGCCTCCGGGTCTGGGACTCAAACCGCGCTCAGCCATGTGAGAATCCAGTGCTGTAACCACTATGCCATCTGCTGGCCCCAATTACAAATTATTTTATCAAATTCATTACTATGGCAAACTAGGCACTGCATGATAAGGCTGTCACCTACCTCCGCTACTTCTGCTGTGTGTGTTTTTTTTAAGGTTTTTCGCCACAATGTGCATGCACTTGTAGGACAGAGACAGACAGAGAAAGGACAAGTGAGAAATCACCTCCCAGTGGAGATGGGCACGCTGTAATCTCCTCCATCCTCCTCTTGCGGTGTTAGGTGTACACACACATGCACTTAAATCTGGTTTTCAAGTCACTGGGTTTGGGACTTGAACCACAGCCGAGTGAGAGTCCAGCACTTCAATCACCATGCCATCGCTGGCCCCACTTCTGTTGACTTTACTCATGCTCTGATCACTGTGTGGTAGCCAACAGTGACTTTGCCAGAGCCGAGAATACCTGGTTACCTCAGGGCCTTTGCCCAGAATGTCCCCTTTGTCTAAAAGCTGTTTTTCTAGTTCTCCAATGCTGCTTCCTTTCCATCCTTCAAATTTCAGTTCCAATGTCACCTCCTCAGCATTGGTTTTCCTGACCACCCTATCAAGAACTCTCTAATCACTTATTCATTGTCTCACCACTTCCATAACCATCTTGTCCAGGCCCTGTCTCTGCACACTAAATGTAAGTTCCACGAAGAAATCCCCAGCACCTGACAGAGTAGACACTCAAATACTGAGTCGTGAGTGAAGAGAGAGATCATACTCGGGACCAGCAGTTAGCGTAATGGCTATGTCGCTGGACTCCCACGTAGTCAACCGCGGTTCAAGTCCCAGACCTGGTGGCTTAAACTCACGCCGGGCACGTGTGCGTGCGTGCCTGAGATCCCGAGAGGAGAATGGAGGAGAAGGGATTGCGGCGTGGCCACCCCCCCTAGGGGGTGATTTCTTGCTTTCTGTCTCTCTGTCTGTCTCTTTCTGTTGAATGCACGCGCCCTATAGCAAAAAACCTCTCCAAAAAAAAAATAAAAGAAAAGAGAGAGAGAGAGAGCATACTGTCTGTGTAGGAAAAGTAAAGTGCTGAACCCAGGAGGGAAGAAGATTGGGAAAAGATGGGAGTCCTCATGAGGCCAAAGGACAGGGCAGTGGCGATGAAAAGGACTGGATGGAAAGAGAAGCTGTGGTCAGGGCATCAACCCCCTGAAGTTCTGATAACAGTATTTCAGCACTAATGTGCAGAGCTGGTGGGAGCATGGGCACACTCTTCCTTTTTTTCTTTTTTGAGATATTTTTGCTATAGGGCATGTGCTCTCACCAGAGAGACACAGAGTGTGACAGAAGTGAGAAATCACCCCCGGGGTCGGGGGAGGCATGCTGTAATCCCTTCTCCTCTATTCTCCTCTCAGGATTTTGGGCATAAATGTACACATTCCCAGCGTGAGTTTAAGCTGCCGGGTCCAGGACTCGAACTGCAGTTGACTATATGGGAATCTAGTGTCGTAATCATTACACCATTTGCTGCCCTCGCCCTCTTTAAAAATTTGCCAGAGTATGAGTGTACTTGCCAGGCAGAGTTGGAGTGGAGGTAGTGAGAAAGAAGCCCCCGTTAGAAACAGTCACTATACAATCTATTCTCCCTCCTCAGGATTTGGGCATACATATGTATCTGGCAGGTTTCTACTACCACCAATTCTGGGTCTTGAACCATGCAGTTGGCCATAAAGGGTCTCAACCACAGCTACTGGCTGGCTCATAAATCTCCCTTTAAATCGCTCAATATTGGGGCCAGCAGGTGGCATGGTGGTTACGGTGCTGGACTCTGACATGGCCAACCACAGTTCGAGTCTCGGACCCAGTTGCCTGAGTGCATGTGCAAGCCCACAATCCCAGGAGGAGAACAAAGGAAAGGGGATTACAGCGTGACCATCTCCTCGAGCTTTCTCTCTTTGGCAAGTAGTACATGTGCCCTGCGGGGGGAAAAAGTGTCCAATATTGCTAAGAGAAACTCAAAATCAAGGAAGGATTCTTTTATAGTAATACATTCTGGCAGTTATATTTGTTTTGTTTTATTTTCAAGATTTTTGCTATAGGGCATGTGTGCTCACCAGAGACAAAAACCAAAAACCAAAAAACAAAAAAAAAACAATAAAAAAAAAAACAATTCACACACGCCCAGGAAGGATGGCCACCCTGCAATCCCTACTCCTCCATTGTCTCAGATTATGGGCACACATGGCCGGTGTGAGTTTCAAGTCCCTTGGGTCTGGGACTCCATCGCTGTCGGCCACGAGGGAGTCCAACAGCTTAACCACCACGCCCCTGCTGGCCCCACATTTGGTTTCTTTTTAGGATACTACAAACTGCCAGTGAGGAAGGTACTAGGCCCGTCATAATGCACATAGCTTTCTATATGGCAGGCATTATTCCAGAGAATTTAACGAGTACTGACTCATTTGATTCTCAAAACGATCCTAGGAGAAACGTACTATTGTCAGTTTTAACCAATGAGGAACCAACAAGGAACAGGGAAGTTATGTCTCGCTCACACAGCAGCCGGCTTGAATCCCTGATCTCCTTAGGAAGTCTGAACCTTTCCTTTCAACTAATTCAAGTTTCAGTGAAAACGAGGCTTCCTGGAGAAGTATCAGTAGGTGGTTGTCGGTGAACCCCACCTCACCTCTCCAGCGTTAGAACTGACAGGCCTGTAGATTATAGACAGCCACCTGCTAAGATATCCCGGCTCTCTGCCGGGAGACACACGTGACTGCACCGCCCCCAGCTGACCTCGCGAGATGTGAACTCACGGGGACGGCTCCCGCCTTGCCAGTCTTCCCTCACTGTCCTCCACCTTACCTCCCGGCAGCGACCAGCTTCTGGAGAAAAGTGTCCACCATGGTATCAAGGAGCTTCACCCTCGAAATGGTAGTGCCGGATGGCAAAGATTCCGGGGACGAGCCCTCAGGCCCTTCTTCCCCACTGCCTACTTCGGCGCTGCTCGCCTCGGCCATGTTGAAGTCGGACCGCCAAATCCTTTTCGCCAGGCTGCCCCGCCCACCGAGCCCCCGGATTGGCCGCTTCCGCACTAAGCGCCTCACATTGGAGCCGGCGGGATGTCTATCACCCAGCTGGCCGCGGAGGGTGCTGGGAAGGTGAGACGGGAGGCGCAGCTCCCCTCTGTTCGCTTTCCTGGCAGCCCGAGGAAACACGCGCAAGCCAAAGTTCGGGGGCTCAATACTTTTAATTACACTTTAAAGACTTCGTACAGTGCAACAGTGAATATTCGCAGTTAATATTCACAAGAGTCCATTTTATCAAGTCTCCACTTTCATTCCCCTGCCCCTCAGTACTCCCAATCTGGTTTGCTGTCTTGCCCAGTCTCCCGGAAGTTCCTTCATAGTTTTCATTACAGTTCAGTACATCAAAAACTCAGCTGCTTTGGTTTCCAGTTTGGGGGAAATGGAAGTCCACTGTCCCATCCCCATCAAGAAATGCTTTAATCAGACCCAGTGCCTAAACGACTAGACGGGGCTAGTAAGGGACCCTTTACTTACACATCCTTTAAAACTGTGAGTGAGGGGATGCAGGGAGGAAGAAAGGGAAGGGAGAAAGGCTGTGACATACAGTACAAGAAAACAGAAGGCAAGGAATCTAGAACAGGACTACCTCTGTCCATGCACTCTGCCATAGTGGGGAAGCCAGTCTCTGGGGAGAGGAAGAAGAGCTCAGAAAACCCATCTCCGAAGGTCTCCCTAGATGAACTTGAAGCAAGAGGAGGGGGCCGCCTTTGCTCCCACTGCATTGGTGGTTCTTGGGATAGAGGTGAGAGGCAGGAATGATCTGTGAGTCCAACCCTGTGGATGACTGTGGACAGACTGGAGAACTCTCTTGACAAAGCACAGGCAAGAACAAGTAAAAATGAATGTAAGTTAAAAGGGGAAATCCCTCAAGGAGATACCAAGATGGGCAGTGACAGTGGTGAAGGTGGAGAATTCAGATTTTCAGATTCTGATCTGGAAGAATATGGAGCAGCCATAAAAAATATCAAGGCTAGCACCTTTCGAATTGGCACCATGGCCTTCCCAGGAAGTGGGACCAACAAGAAGGCTTGCAGGATCATCCAGGCCAGTAGAAATGCAGGGTTTGCCTTCTCATGCCATTTGCTGCACCTCTCCTCCTGTGATGCAGGCTTGCAGGGGTGGGTGCTGAGGAATGGGGCAGGGAAGGACTACTTATCTCCTAGCTCCTGAGGAAAGCTTCACAGATAATCTTGGCAGTATCAGGCTGGTAAATGCAGGGGTCCTGGCACTGGGTGACTTCCTGAACTGCTCTTTATTCCCATTCAAACATCCCGTCACAGGGTACCATGGCTAGGATGGCTCTTCACATCCAGGGAGAAGGAAAACACAGTTCCACGTCTCAGAGATTCCCACTCCTAGAGACTGGGGTATACATGGGTTACCCGGGACCAAGGAACTCCACTGCCCCTTCCTAGGCTTGGCTCAGTTGGCCTGGAAGATGTGCTAGGGAACACCACCCACTTGTCATTTTCCAAACCCAGCTTCTCTCTCGACCTGACTTGTCAGGGTAGTGCTTCAAGTCCAGTGCACCCCACACAGCCCTACCTCCTACTGTGCCCCCCACTGTATTATCCGGGCCAGGGGAAGTCAGCAGCTTATTTCGTCCCAGGGCCACTGGGACTGAAAGGACACTGAAGGGACACTGGAGGGGTAGGGGACTGAGGTTGAGGAAGCTACATTACACTTTTCTGCCTGTCTGAGGAAGGGATGGGCTCCGGCAGCAGGACTGGTCATTTAGCAGGACGAAGACAATAGCCTAGTTCACAGATGTTAAAATCAGATATACACTCAAAATAAAGTAGTAACATGTCTCCTCAGCCTGATCAGCCCCCACAAAGGGAGGCCCAATGCTCGGAAGAACCAGAGGTTTTTGCCACTCCTGCTCCCTGTGCAAATGTCAGGCACCTGCCCCCTGCACACACACACACATGGCAGGGAAACATAGAGTGGTCTGGTGGGCACCTCAGTCCCAAAATAAAAATAAGCAAGCCGAAGCGATGAAGTGGCAGAGAGCTGATGGCAGCTGCCTGGAATCTGGGCTGGAAGCCCAAGGGCAACGGCCGGTGGTAGTAGTGAGGTCTATGTACAGCTTTTCTCGGGGTCTCAGAAAAAAATGGAGAGGGGAGCCCGAAGTACAGTGAGCAGGGTGTGGGTGGGGTGGGGTCCTCAGGCCAGGATTGAATATGGGGATTGAGTGAGGGAGCCCCGTTCAGCAAAAGAATTAAAATAGTGGGGACAGGGGATCCAGATGTGGAGCCTCTTCAGTAAGAGCAGTTCGTAGTCTCTATCCCTGGCCCTGACAGGCCACCTGGCCCAGGGCAGGGCTGGGTAAGTGGGGACAGCTGCAGGGAGTGTTCCTCCCCACTCTGCCCCGCCCCGAGCAGCGTGGGAACGGCAGCCTCCTCGGCCACCACTGATTACCAGTGCCTCGAGTCCACCAGCTCAGGTCGCAGGCTGAGTTTCTTGAGGCTCTCGTAGCCCACCACGATGACCATGGTGAAAGGTGTGGTTGAGATGATTCTGGCTGACAAGCCCTTCATGAAGCCCCAGGGCCCCTCCTCTGCCATCAGCTGTCTGAAGGTCAGGATGATGGAGTTCTTCCCCTCCACCTGGAAAAGTCAATGCAGGGGAACCAGCAGTTAGCATAATGGCTATGTCGCTGGACTCCCACGTAGTCGACCGTGGTTCGTGTCCCGGACCCGGTGGCTTAAAACTCACGCCGGGCGCGTGTGCGTGCGTGCCCAAGATCCCGAGAGGAGAATGGAGGAGAAGGGATTGCGGCGTGACCATCCCCCCTGGGGGGTGATTTCTCGCTTTCTGTCTCCAGTGCGTAGTCTCTATCCCTGGCCCTGACAGGCCACCTGGCCCAGGGCAGGGCTGGGTAAGTGGGGACAGCTGCAGGGAGTGTTCCTCCCCACTCTGCCCCGCCCCGAGCAGCGTGGAAACGGCAGCCTCCTCGGCCACCACTGATTACCAGTGCCTCGAGTCCACCAGCTCAGGTCGCAGGCTGAGTTTCTTGAGGCTCTCATAGCCCACCACGATGACCATGGTGAAAGGTGTGGTTGAGATGATTCTGGCTGACAAGCCCTTCATGAAGCCCCAGGGCCCCTCCTCTGCCATCAGCTGTCTGAAGGTCAGGATGATGGAGTTCTTCCCCTCCACCTGGAAAAGTCAATGCAGGGGAACCAGCAGTTAGCATAATGGCTATGTCGCTGGACTCCCACGTAGTCGACCGTGGTTCGTGTCCCGGACCCGGTGGCTTAAAACTCACGCCGGGCGCGTGTGCGTGCGTGCCCAAGATCCCGAGAGGAGAATGGAGGAGAAGGGATT